CACCCACACACACACACACACACACACACACACACACACACACACACACACACACACACACACACACACACACACACACACACACACACACACACACACAAAACAGATCAAATGCATTCCATCTGTCATAAGCTATAGGCTAGGCTATGTGAATCTATTATACTCTATTGTATTATATTTTTCTTAAACCCCTTGTAACACACATACACTCACAGAGGCACACACACACACACACACACACTCACAGAGGCACACACACTTTTCTAAAATCAAGCACTACCACTAAAAATATATTGCAAAGTGGTCATGATGGCAAAAAAGCAATGGTGTCCATTTTAAAGAGTTACCTGTGGCTATGATTTTTTGGAAGACAAAGGCTACACGTCTAATGTCACTTCCAAATGTTTTTTAAAGATGCAGACAAGTAATTTCCAGAAATTATGTGTTATGGAAAAAGTCCCAAATCTCCACATAAAGTGCAGAGACATGAGACTCATGGTTAGATAAATCTAATCTACACTCTGGTGGAACTTGGTCACAGCTGCATGTTGCCATGTCTCTCTATCAAGGTCAGAGAGACACAGAAGAGAGCACAAAAGCCCATTTCTTCATCCTACTTACTCAGAGGCTCTGAGGTGAGTATACTCCATTTCCATCCATCTTTAGAGAAAACCTCAATGCCACATGTCAAGTACCTGCTTGGACATTCACACTTGTTCCCTTTGCTCTCTTCCTGGTGCTCACTTGTTAATAGTGAAGGGGCTATCTGAACATTCAGCCCAATTTTCCCCCTCTACTTTTCCACTCTCTTTTTCTCTGTAGTTTTCAGCTAGCTCAGTGCCATCTTGCTCTACTTATGCTTTGCACTTTCTCTACTTTGAGCTTCTTCAAACTTAACATTTTAGGCAAATCAAATTGAAAAGAGGAAAGAAGATGATATAAGGAGAAAGTAGATGAGTGGAGAGCAGAGCAGAGGGGGAGAGGTGAAGTAAAGTAGAGAATAAAGGATGGAGATGTGAGGCAAGCAGAAGTAAAGACCAGAGAGCAGGAAGTGGACAAGAGAAGAAGTTTAGACAGTGTATGTGATGACACATGAAGACTAAACATAATACCTTGAGCTAAACTGCAGACAGAGACATTTGAGTTATGTACCTCAGGTATATGAATCATTTATGTCTTTAAGACAACTACTCAACAACAAAGTTCACTGCATAAAATTGGGGAGATGGGGTGATCATGAGCTCAGCAATGGAAACAGAATTTAGAAAAAAATGCAGGAAAACAAAAAGGAAACCTTAAACAATAAACCACGTCTTACAGCATGGCCTGTGCCTTGTACACGAAGCATGATTTTCCGTTAGCGAGGTAACTTCAGGGTTAACTCTGGGTTTCCGGTCCTACGACGCTGGTTAACTTCTTACCGAGGTAGATCTCCATGGTAACTTATGCTGGACACCACAGGTTTGGTGTTCAGCATAAATTTCGTTCTAGATAAGAGATCAACTCCGTGAAAGCACCGCCTGCTGACCAATCAGAGCTCAGTGTGCGGAGTTTAAAGCTATCAAGTCATATTGGAAATACAGTTTAAACTGCCGTTGCAGGAAAGAGGTCCGGCAAAAATCACCGACTGTGTGAACGTGAAAATGAATAGAATATCACCTCCCATGTTCAGAGCAATCTGACTATTAGCGTTAAGAAAGCTTACTTAAATATCTGCCACAACATAAGTAACAGGGTCAAAGTAACATTACGTACAGTCCGTGACACTGAGTGCAGACATCGATGTGTCCCATTATCATTGAGGCCTACGTAATCTCCGTCCACATCTCCACGTGCAGTGCTGCATAAACATGGCGGAGTCAGCGATAACTTTCGAGGGGTGGAGGTATGCCCATTATTTTGAGTTCGTCCGAAGAATAGACAGGAATACGACGGTGAGGTGCAAACTGTGTCCAGGCCAGAAGCTGTTATCCACTGCTGCAGTGACGTGCACAGGTACGGGCTAATGTTGCCTGGGCAACGGCCCGTTTGGCCTTTTTGGCTGACCTGCCCCTCTGGAGAGAGCGAGAGTTTGATTTTCTTTTTTCTGTTGTGGCCGAATCAACATGATAAGCCCACAATTAGTGTTGTAGCGTCTCGCTGCGGGAAACACACCTTGTCAGCGCTGTCATCTGCCGGTGCGGTAAGACCACCTCAGTGTCGGACTTTGGAAACTTGATTTTGAGTTGTCTCATGGTAGTTAGGGTATAATGGACAAACCAGGGGACTTTACTTCCTCTTGATACCGTCGGTTATTTACAAAAAAACACCTAAATATAGCCTACTTGCTGTTATTGTGCTTCTGTCTTTCTGTGTCTTTTCATCTGTTTG